AAACAAATCAAAGGAGGCGTCAGCAAACGCGAAGGGGCCATTTCGCCTGCGGGCACACAACACACACGGATTAAGGTACGCCACGGAAGGGCGCCGCCGCCGCGGGCGCCAGGGTGCGTGCCGGGGCCGGGCCGCCTGTGACTGAGCACCACCTTTCCTCCTCTCTCATCCCCTTTGTGACCAGAGCGGGTGTTTTTTTCCTTGCCCCTCAGGGAAACGTTTTAAGATAGCGTTCAGGGGGCACGGGAGAGCGTGGTTAACACAAGTACGGCTTTGATTTTCATGGGCAAAACAGGTTCAATGATTCCTCATGAACATAATCATTACAGTACATAATGTTGCCCTCTACGTCTTGGAAAAGTTTTAGCGGTACTTAAAAAAATAAAAATAAAAATAAAAATAATAAAAAAAAAAGGAGAAGAAGTAAAGAAACAAATATACCACCAATTTTCATCAGTCTCTGATAGGGATTTTCCTCCCCCCATCTAATCACACACAAAGAGAAGAAGAGAAACTACCGGGCCGTATAGTCCATCGCCACACTGTGGTTTCTTTTGTCCCTATGGATATGCACCCTCAAACCACTTTCAAGGTATCACTGGTAAAAGCAGTAATAAATACACTTCCTTAACTTAACAACTCACGGCCCGTAAGCCACGTGGAAGCAATTACGAAGCAGAGAGGTCCTGGCCTGGCGGGGCGGCAGCCCTTCTCCTAAGCTCCCCCCTCTGTTCTGATGCAAATCGCTTCTCTCCAAAACCAAAATGAGCCCTCCACTGCTCCCCGTAGGATGAGAGGGCGCTACCCAGGCTACTTCTGCGATTATCCTATAGATATATATAGCACTAGGGATGACTTTCAAGAAACCTGATCGCTGCTTTACTGAGTTACTTCCTCCCAATATCATATTTCTGCTAAGCCAAAAAAGCCCAGAGTCATGTTGTTGGCAAGGCTAGGAAGAAGAGCAGCAACGGACTGAGAAGAAATCGTAACCTCTACCTAGGTCTTTATGCTGCCTTTCACCCAAGGAACCCAAAGCACTATGCACAAGAAAGCATCGGTATCTGCATTTTATAGATGCTGGAAATTATTAGCTGAAGGAGTCGTGGCCTGAGCAGGAAGGACGGGGCAGAGCAGGTCGCCTCTGCCCTCACCCTGTCCTCGCTCTCTACCCACTGCTGCCCTCAGCAATGCCTCGCTCAAGCCACGTGCCCCACGGGCAACCCGACGTTTTGGCTCCTCGCTAAGATACGAAAGGGGAGAACAAAACAGGGCCGCCCCGAACCACCGGGGAACTTCAGCTGCAAAAAGCACTACTCATAACTTGTGGATCACTTAAGCACATCTCTTAATAAACCCACCGCTCTCCAAAAGCCAAACAACAACAACAAAAAAAACCTCCACAAGGCAGGAAACCCAGAAATTATCACAGTCAATCATGAGCAGGACATCCTTAGTTGGGCTGAAAAACTAGCCCATACTAATTCCTTACTCAGGCAAAATCCTAACAAAAGTCAACAGGATTTTTGCATCACTCTCTAGTAGGTGGGCTAAACACTGCGCTCTCAAGAATTACCTGTTTTCCTTCTTTTTTAATATTAAGAAACTTTTAGACTTTAGCACTATTTATTTTACACCTAACAATGCACCAGGTGTTTTACACCGATTACGGAAAACTCCTAGACTTACAATTGAGACAAACAACAAACTGAGAAGACTGAGACAGTGGATACTGGATTCCTTAAAATTGTGTCTGTTTGTCCTAGCAAGCCAGACCTAATGTGCTTTTGGCCAACTCCAGCTCTTACTGAATCTTTCCATTAAAAAAGATAACAAATCTTATTAATATCCCTTTAATCCTCCTCTGTCATGCTAGCATTTATTCCTCTCTCAGTCCCTGACAATTTGCCCGGCAAGTTTACCCCGTAGTGTTTTCACACATGCCAGAGACAACTCCAAATCATCGCTGACATGTCTACTGCACTCGCTCGCTGAGTAAACAGAGCTGACTGACAATGCACACGCTCTGTCCTGCTTGACAGCAACCAGGGCTTCTTATTCATATTTTCTCTTCAATATATTCCATCTGCCTGTCTGTTCATCATTCCCTCTTTCTGTATCTATTATTCCCCTTTTTACTGCATTTCAACGCTGCATCTCTGTCGTGTGACCAAGCGGTAGATCCTGGCCGGCAGCAGCAGCTCGAACCGTTATCATGCACGCTAGAGTACGGGGCACCCATGATACCGACTTAGAGGTGGCAAAATCAAGTCCGAGGGCATAGCAGTCACTAACGAAATGAAAACCTGTGTGAGAAGAATGGATGAGAAATGGAAAGAACAGCAAGTAAAATACTGAGGCAGAGGAGGTCACTAATCAAAACATACCAAAGAGTGTAAGGGACCTTCATAATTGGGAGATGATGACGCTTGACCTCCATTTCTAGACCAAACAGCTGTGCCTGCTAATAGTAAAATTGGAATTACCATTAGAACTATGCAAACAAAAATGTCTTTCAAACTTTTTGGACAGTTTTGTAGACATGTAAATGCCGTATTCCAGATAGACTATAGAGCAGACATATGGAGAACTTCCAAAATACACATGGATGAAAAAAAGGTATTTTGTAGCAAAGCACGTAGATGCAGGCCACAAAGTTCCCCCAGGCTGCTGCTCGGCATAGAGGATTTCATTGATTCAGCAGCTGTACCTGCGAGAGGCTCCAGCAGAAGGAAATGTCTCACTGGTAAAGAGAAGGAGCACTTTCCAGCAGTGCCGAGAGAGGACCGCGAGACTGCTACGCCAGTCCAGCACATACTATCCTGACTTTGCTTCAAGACATATTCAGTGCCACTGATCACGTCATTCTGTCACCAAATTTACAAAATCTTAAAAAAGAAATAAGTAAAAACACTACACAAAACATTCAGTTATACTCTGATAAGGTTTGCGTTCTCTTAGGGGAGGTTATTTTCAAAGGGTCTAACAGAAAAAAAATCTAGTTCATAGCCACTGTTCCAAACCTGCTTCTGCTGCGGGAATAAAAGGTCTCTTGGTCTTCAGCAATATTTTCTAATGAAAAAATTTGCCCTTGTGAAAGAGGCAAAGCAAACACGGGGAAAGACATCTTTTCGAGTATTTTCCCAACAGCTCATATTTATAGTACAATGATGAGATAATTTACAGTGCTCTTTCTTTTAAATAAATGATCTTCTGAACGATCGTATGAAACAAGGTTAAGAATTTGAGATGGAAATATTAGGATTTTAATCTTAACGTCTAAATTGAGTGGCATTTGCTCGGACTGAGATAGGCCAGGGTGGAACTCATGGCAGTTTTTTTTAGGCTCGCTCTCTGATTTTTTTTCTCATTAAAGTCAAAATTATGTTAATGCTAATTAAAACGTAAATCTTCTCTTTTCCGGTCCCCATGGATCTTTTATTTGAGATTTTGTGACAGCACTGAATGGAGCAATGAAGAGCAATCTTTACTTTTGAAATAATTTTTAACTAGCCCTTGATATCCTTGAGGGAAAAGTGCCTTGCATGCTAAACACTTCTAGTTGTTCTTTAAATGCATTTACATTCCTTATTTTTATTTATTTTGACACTTGGCTCTTTCTATTTATCCAGTAAAACTTGTAGAAAGTAATGCAGCCCAAATTACTTAGCACAATATTTCTCTCTTCAGCTCGTATCCTTTTATTGGAAACAATGACAGTGCCTCACTAAGAGAAATGTAGCTCATGGTGCCAGGGTGTTGCTTAAGCTCAAGGATTGATTTCTGACCAAATATAAGGGTAGAGTGTCATTCTCTGCAGGGTGGGAATCCCTTCCTCTGTGGCATGGCCAGGCAGTCCCCCGGCTCCAGGTCCCCTGCTAGGTACGACTCCGGAGGAGGTGCAGATGTTTGTTGAATTCTTTTAACCACAACCGTTAGATGCTTCTTCATGGCAAGGTGACCGTGCGGGACATAAGCGTGGTGGCCCTTCCTCCTGGACCTCTTCCCACAGAGGCTGGGCAATGTTCTAGTTCTCCCTTCTCCTTCCTGATCGTTTTCATATGCTGCCAGCTAGCACAAGCTGCACTCCTACCAAGCCTTCCAAAAAGATCTCATCGCTTTAAGTCTATTATTATGTTTATGTCTCTAAGGTTGTGGTACCTTTTTAAAAGCTCAGGAGCACAGGAGCTCTCTCCACCTCAGTTGTACTACTCTCCTCTTTAAGAAAACGAGGGGTGGATCCCGCCTCTTTCACGAATTAACGGCACTGCCCTACAGGAACATAACCTCGGCTGCCTTTTCAGATTTCCAAGTGAGTTTAATGGGATCCAGGGACTCTCAGGCAAAGAAGAGGAGACCACAGGATGTCTGGTTACGTTATGAAGTAGACCTAGTCTTAAAGAGGGGAGAGAAAGTTGACAGGCCATCTCCAAGAAGTTAACGCATGCTGCGTGGGTCGGTTATGCAGGGAGGAGAAGCTTAATGCTCTAGGTGGAAAATCTCAAGCGTTAAGAAATCTGAATTAAATTCAGATAAACTTTCAAAATACTTGATGCTCATGAGAACTACCCTGGGCCTCTAGATCTTTTCAGTTTAGGCTTTTATGAGTACCATTGGGTTTAGTTAAAATATGCAATTATTAAAAACAAAGTATGTAATAAATTAATTAGATTCATGGGGTCTCAGTTTGTCCAGAGACACATTTTTTGGATCCAATTCTAACAGGCCTTTGCCTGAGCCTCTGAGAGAGAATGGGGGAAACGTCCAAGGACATGTACTCGCCACAGGAGCCTTGCAGCGAGGCTGCCGCAAAAGCGCTTGGTGACAACGTTCGCCCAGAGGCTATCACCTAGGAATGGGGACGCGGTGGGCCCCCCCCCCCCCCCTGCCACTCTGTGGGGCCCAGCCGCACAAAGTGGAAATCATCTGCCAGAAGATCCTGAGGGGACTACAGGAAGCCGCAATAAGGATGCATAAAAACACTGCTTTTCAGCAGTAAATGCATCCACCTGAGAGGTGTAACAACCTTCTCTCTGCATTGGCCAAAATATAGCTTTTAGAAAATATCTCTGCTCATCTCTGTGAGAACAATCAGCCACCTGCATGTGTTTTACAGCAATAAGGAAATAGCCTGATGCTACTGGCTGGATGCTCATCTCACACCCAGTACTGTAGGAGTTCATTTAAGCATCTCCTACCAAAAATACGTTGAAATGTTCAGTAAAATAGAATTGTAACAACAATACCTGAGAGAGAAGGGGGAGAACCAACAGGAGTTGAAGGATTTGATGAAAAGCTGTTGTTGGTGTGATCTGGAGAATAGATCTTTAAAAGATGATAAAGAATTAATCTAAAGCCATCACAAACTGATGCAGAAAGAAATATGGAATTCTTATGCATTCAGTTCATTTAAATGAAAGCAGGACAGGTTAAAAAGCCTCTTATTTAAATATTAATATTTTTATAAAGACAACACGGTATTAGATGTAGGAAGCTAGACAACAGAATCCTTTTAACTGAGACATCTCGATGGAAACAGACACTAGCCAATTAAGTGATGGTTTCGGATTGGCACACGGATATGCTACAGCACGTAGACACATTTTTACTTTGTAGCCCGCTTTACGAATGAGCGTCATTGAACAAAGCCTTAGAGCGCTTCTCAAAACTGTTTTTTTGTTACGCTGAGATCCCTTAACGGCCAAAATAAAGCAAAGGGAACGGAGAACGTCACCCTGGCACAGCGGGTGGCTGGTGGCAGTGCACACCGACGATGTGCCTGCTCATGGGGCGAACAAGCCCAGCTGTGCCACGCAGATGGGCGACAAGCGACCCACCGTGCAACGCCAGCGCTGCGCGGCGCGTGCCGCGAGCCCGCGTCTCCGTCCATCGGCCGTGCTGTCTGTCAGGGCACCACTTAAAAGTGGATTCTGTACTGTATCAGTTATTTCAGGCAAACTATAGTCTTACTTTTCATCTTTTTTTAATGAAGCATCAGAAGAATATGCAAAAAAATTGACTCTCATGAGAACTCAATGGAACCCACTCTGCCCAGAAAATAACTATAGTGGTCCTTATTAAAAGCCAGTCTGTGCCAGCAATTACCTCAAGGATAGCTGAGATGCACAGTATTTCCCTCCACTGTAAGCTGGAAAACTGCTGTACCCCAGTTACCCAGGAAAGGTAAGAGATGGCAACTACTGACTTTTTAACAGCAACCACAATAACTGAATAGGTGGCAACTATCATGAAAAATACAACATCTGAAGGCAAAGGAAATTCAGAATGAATCCTGTTTGCAGATCGCTCAGCAGCACGAAAATAATCCTGCTGTTGATTTTGATTCAAACCTCCCTCATCTTAGTAAATGAAGTGTGTGAGAGACTGAAAGACATAGCTCATTGTCACTCAGTGAATGTGAACAGGCTAAGATTTCCATTCTTTTCCTTTCTACTCTGTCATAAAATTAAGTCTAAAACTCTTTAAAGTATCATTTTGCACTGATTGTTAAATATTTTTTATATTGGCAGTAACTCAAAACAGATGACCTCTGAGATCAGATCTCTCCTGTATGCTGCTCATCTTCTTAAATTCCAGACGTCCAATTCTGATTAAAGTTCACACTTTGAAAATGGAAAACGTGTATTCCAAAGTAAATATTTCCTTACAGAGGCAAGTGCTTTCCCCAGCGCATCACCAGTCTGCGAGCTGCCTGCTGCCCCACTTCCTCTGTTTGCTGAAAAACAAAAGACTGAATGTAAAAACAGACAGAAAGACATCATAGATTTCTTTTCCTGGTCCACTTACTCATAATTTAATTGCATTTTAATGCTAATTACATCAATTGAATCATTAATTACCATTAGTTTGCTTGCTAAGGTAGATATCAAACATACTCATGTTCCATTTTTGCAGATAAAATATAAACTTGACATCTTGCTTTTTAAAAATATATTGCATATTTGATAGTACTTGGCCATATGGCTTTATTTTTTCTAAATGAAAGGTTGCTAATTGTAGAAGATGCTCAAAGGTATGAAAAATATGCAAGTTCATAACTAGACAAGCCTGCTGTAATCTGAAGCCTGGTGTGCAGAAATGGTTGCCTTCCTTCATGCCTGACCCATGCTCATATTCGGTGCCAATCAAGGGTTGCTGTGTTTGTATTTTAAGATATTCTAACTTAACTCTTTAACGTTAAAGAGCTTTCTTCTTCAGAATCTCGAAGGCACTTTTGTTATAAGGGCAACATTTCACATTTAATATGTCAATAACTACTGGAGAGGAACATTCTAAAGGTGGCAAAAATGAATCCTCTAGAGTTGGGAATGACATAATTTAGTCTGCCTGTGGAGCTTGATTTCTTTTTGTTCTAGTGTCTGTATTATGAGCCAGTTGTTAATTACATGATGGCTTACTATTTTTCCAAGCAACCCTAGCCTCACTCACTGCAAAGCAAAGACAAAGGGCAATTAATAAGCAGCTACTCAGTATTTTCTTTCCTTCCCATTCACTCTGTGACCTTAGTCCCTTCTCTACTTTTCAAAATGCATTTTACAGACATTATCTATTTCCACATAGGCTTTCCAACGTATTCCTTCTGATTGTATTTAAACATTTTATGCATATTTAATTTAATGACTTTTCACCATCTCAGGTGACCGGATTGCACCTTTGATATGAGAAACTGAAGGAAAGAAAAATTAGAGTGAAACATTTCACCAGTTTCTCACCCTCAAGTAACAGGATTGCAACTTCTCCATTCATATGAGAAGCTGAAGGATAGAAAAATTAGGGTGAAACATTCCACCCATTTTATTTTTCCAGAATACTCAGCATCTATATATCCATTTATAAACTAAAAGCATAGCTTTGACTGACTGCTGTGACTGATCAATACTTCTGCTTTGGTCCCGAAGGACCGTAAGTCCGGCAACTAAAAAATGAGAAACAAACAGTAACTACCCATGAAAAGTTTGGATTAATATCTTATCTAGTATCATACAGGAATGCTATGGCTGAAGCAGGACCAGGAACTTGCACCTACGGTGGTTTCACCTGTTTCAATCATCGTTTTTCTCTCTTAAGCCCCTGCCCTGCTCCCTGCGCGCTTTCCACGCTCTGCAGCATAGGGTAAGAGGTCCTACTCGCGCCTGACACCCCCAGAGCAAACCCACCCTCTGCTCTGAATGAGGAAAGGGCCTTGGGGAAAAGAACACGTGACCAAATTGTTAGAAGTCGTACCACGAAGCACAAACACAGCAGGAAACGTATGTCTACATGTGAGACGGGTGGGAAGTAACTAATGCTACCTTTTACATTTCTCATTTCATAACTTTTGAATGAGCTCCATCCTGCCAAAGGGCTAAATTTCTACCAGCAGCTTCGGCAGAGTCAAGTCAGGAGAACTTATGGAACGACATGGAACAGGGTTTTCCTTCTATTTCTCATTTACAACACGCATGTTATAAAATTTAAGAAATGGAAAAACTTTACATTTAACTTGGCTACATAAAATTCTGACCTTTGATCCCAAACTTTTCGACAAAAGTCGCATAGTGGAGTTTGCTCGCATCCTTGCTTGCTCCTATCTTTCCTTTCTTTCAGTTATACCTTTATTATTACTATTGTATGTTTGGAAATAAGCTTATATGTCAATGATAACGTTTATTTGTTAGCTTAGTTTGAAATTAGGTCTCCAAGATCTATTAAGCGTAGGATTTGCTACACTGAGCCACTGTGGAAAGCACAAAGTTATTACACCCCTGAACATTAACCAAGAAATGCAAAGGCAATGAAATAGAATATGTGGTGTCACTTAGAGATGCAACTTATCAGACTAATTTAATGTTGCAAGCTGAAGGTTTGTGACTTGAATAATATGAGTCAGACATCCAGAAATTGAGTTACTTAGTTCTAAAGTGAACTGTGAATCTAAATGTAAATCATGCGGGGTTGTTTTTTTTCTTTTTCTAAGTGACTTTAACTACATTACTCTAAAATTAAGACCTACATTTGTCTGCCTGAAGACTGGGTTCTCATAAGGAGAGGAGCTATACCGGTCCTGCAGGAGAAGCAAACATAGGCACCACAGAGTCACACCGCATGTGCTGTTATAAGCCTCCGACAGCGCTTAGCTGGGCCACGTCTTATATTTGTTACTGCTAAGAACAAAGGAATTCTTCAGATACACTGAATATTAAACTTCTCATGAAAGACTTTGAAGACAAATTAATACAGTAGGCCTGGAAAACATACAAAGGAAAGGCACAAGGATGGGCAGAAGTATGAGAAGTTTCCTTTTGAGGAGAGGTGTTTCACTATGAAAGGGATGACGAGGAATACCTCGGGGGTTTATAGCAGCATGAGTAACCTGGGGAAGTCAAGCTGTGCATGATTATTCATGCTTCTCACCATATTAAAAAAAAAAAGGCATTTTTTCCACTTGGTATCCAGTCAAATGGGGAAACGCTCTACTTTAAGGTACGTGGAGACCAAATATACAAATAGAGAAAAAAACTGGAGAAATTCATGGGGAAAAATCCACCAGTGGCAGTTAAACATCAGCGTCCGGATGCAGCTTCAGGTCAGGATGGCTCTGAACTGTGACTGTCAGAGCCAGGAGGAAATGCCAGAGGATGGATGGCCGCGCACATGATTTCTTCCTAGATGCTTTGCAAACTGCCTGCTGCTGGCCACTGCTGACAGCAGAGCGCCGGCCCCCAGGAGCCACCACCATTTTTATCATTACGTCCCAAGAGGCGGCGGAGAAAACAGACAAACAAAGGTAACCAAGACACTTTCCACTTGAAAGATCAAGTCAAACGCAGCCAGACATGGATCTTGAGACAGGCTGCTAAAAGCGTTCATGTGTGGAGAATAACCAGGATATTTAAATATATCTAACTTCTACGTATGCTGTCATTTCTTACACAACTGATTGTTTTACATGTAAATTCTTCTTTGGTCCAACTACCATTCTGGTAATGTAAGGGGCACGACTGAAAGCTGCAGGTGCCTAGGAAAACCCCATATTTGCAGGAGGAAAAGAAAAATTTCGGCTTAAGAGGAGACGCAACAAGGACTGTCTACCGAAGGAGCCCAAAGAATTTGGAAGCAGCAGGACAAAACTAACTTGTCATCTTGGGACTACTTACACAGAGAATGGACCTCAAATGTAGGAAAAGATAACCCATGATATCACTACAGAAAAAGGTAACATACATTGCTGTTTTACACAGGGAATGACTATGGAATATTATCAACTGTTTCTATTTATATCTAACATTTGTTGGTCCTTCATTTTACTATCGGCTTCAGTGAAACACTATTTAAATACAACTAGTTATATACTGAAGGTCGAACAGACGTAGGCTTGTTCTGTAAAGCCTCACTGGCGTCCAGAATAGCACCCAGAATGGAAGAAAACTGATAGGAGAAATAAGAAAGGATATTTGGACTACGCTGTGAACTGAATCGTGAAGACAAATGTAGTTTCTCAAACCGTGTCCGTGCAGACTCGACTCTTAATGCACACGTCCCTCAAACTGTTCTGTGCGGTAGGCAGGGGACGCGTCACACGTGAAGAAGGATTGCAGAACAGACCAGCTGGCATCAGATCTGTCATCCTGCACCAGAGAGGGATACGAGGAAATCTGCGGACACTGCTCCAAACAGCAGCCCTATCAATCTTGTAGGCAGGGGCATTCACAAGGTAAGCTGTGCCGGGTGTGCAAAGCCCCAGCTGAATGAGCTGTGTAATAACTTAGTGAGTCAGCATGGTGAGGCCTCAGACAGTCTAAGACCTCCGCCTGTCACTTCTGGATAAAGATGGTCCTCCGATTTTTTTCCACAAAAATTTTGAATGCAGACTAGATACTGATCTTAAATAAATAAAAGGCTTTTTCCCATCCAAAATGCGCTCTTCCACTTCATTTTAGGCTTTTGGAAGAAAACCAGAAGATGTGCTGGTCAAGTAAGATGGATGACCTTCGGCAAATATTTAGTGCAGCTTAAATATAAGAACAAAAAATATTTTAAAAGAGTAACTTTTAAAAGCTAATAGTAAAAAGTTTTTCAAGTTCATTGGAAATAGGGACCATGATAGGGAGCTGGAAAAGACCTGCAGATGAGCAAGATGAAACATGACAATTCAAGGGAAAAAACGTCACAGAAGAAATGCTAAGCAGATCGTTTTCATCAGCCTTGTCCATGGGACAAGTGATATTTTACAAGGGATTAGTCGGGAAAATTGGCTCCAGCTGAAGTGTTAATGTAAAGGCTTTAAAATATATAAATAAAAAGAAAAAAAATAAAGAGCCAAATGATGCTTCTAAGGGTTCTCAAGAAACTCAAATACAAAATTGTCTAACTTCTAATCGCAGGCTGAAATCTATTGCTCAGTCCAACCTAGTACTGAAGTAAAGAAGGCAGAAAATATGACACCAATACTGGAAACAAGTTCTATGAGTTCAAAGAGCCAAACTTTAAATTCAGACTCTGTACTAGGAAAGATAACAAAGAACAACATGCACATGGATAAATACTTAGGACATCAATCAACAATGCTTTCTTGGAGGGCAGATGTGTCTTGCAAATCTAAAGTCCTTCCAAAGGACGATGAGCACGTGGATACAGGTGATCCAGTAAGTACAATGCACTTGCACTCCTCAGGAAGCTTTCAGCAAAGTCCCCTTGCAAAGGCTCTCAAAGAAACTAAATTGTCTTCAGATAACA